AGATTCCTGCGAGACAATGACCTACACAAAGCAGGGGGGGTTCTCTCCGTCTCATACACCAACAACATTTGTAGGGAAGTAAACTGTCCTATTCTTCCTTAAAATTAACATTGTGTAAAACATTAAATCAATTAGCTCATTTTACACAAGCTTGTAAATAAACGCCTCAAGGAAAAGCAAACGGGTCACATGGTAACTCTCCACTGCTTGGTCACCACTGTTATGCAAGACGTGGCCCTTACGCGTCCTTTTATTTGTGAACTAGAATCAGTAAAAAAAGTAAATTTTAAGGTTCACGATCGATATGCAATGGACCCACTGAGATACTGAATCGGGTCACTTAGTAGGACCAATGGAAAATTAGATTTTTGTTTTGTTTTGTAAGGACCAGAAGGTGCTAAAATTTCAAGTTTGTAATTGTGAGTTAAATATAAGGTCACTCTGTGGGATAGCAACGAATTTTAGAACTGAACTGATGCATTAATAAAAAAAGAAGATCAGAAGATACTCCACGTATGGGAATTCCTTTCATTTCAAAACATGAAACAAAAACTGAAATTGTTTACAAATTTACATTTTGCATTGAGACAGATTTGTTCAGGAGTTCAGTTGTGAAAGCACTTATGCATGAGATTGGTGTCTCGAGCATGAAACCAATGAAAACAGAAGCACACGTGAAATAGTCAGTTCCTTGAGCACATATAGCTAGAGGGAAAGATAGAAAAATCACCCTGGTCTGTACCAACAACCAGCAATTTTATGTGAGCCAAGGCATACATAGCCTTGGTAACGCCAATTAAAATGCAAAATTCCACAGGAATGTTAACCTTAGGTCAACAGATTTTTTTTTCGATTATTCGACATGAATACAAAGTGGTTTTAATCAGTATGAGCTAAGAATACTTAAAGTTTGATATGAAAACAAGAAACTGTGAGCGCTAATTTGTTAACGTTAATACTTACCTAAGTAATGTAGACACCGATCGCCGAAACTTACTTTAACCCGCACATCGGTCGAGTACCTTGGAATGTTGGATCAATTCACAGATATGTTAGAACAAAAAAACGTTAAAAGAAAGCGCTGTTCATTGGCCAGTTATCATTATGGGTTGTGCGAGAGCTCTGCTTGCTACACTGTAAATATTGAGGGCATTGAGCAGAAACACACCTTGTCAAGGGTTTCTCAGTGGCTCTATGCGTCGATACATTTATTCAGCGTTGAGAATTCCCCTTCAGCCTATATTTGATGAAAACGTTGATTGATTTTTAACCCACAGTAACATAAATTATGCAAATGCTGTGATAAGGTAAAAAGCGTGAGGCATTGTCATTATACAGTATATATATTAAATAGAGTACTGTTCTACGGTGGTGTTATCGGAAAAATTTTTCCTGTGTGCGTGGATTCATCTTACGCATGGAAAAGTTTTAAGACAATTTCTCAGTTTTCTTATTCAACCGAAAAAGGCCTCGTGCTCGCACTTCATTTCCAACCCTCACTCAGCCTCCCCCAATAGAAAAGGGGAACTCTTTCTACTTGAAATCATCTATGCCGGTGATCCATTTAATTCAATATCATTTCATTTAGAGACATTAAGACCGCACAAACAAGTTCAGCTTAAACGACATTCAAATTGAGCCATTGAAAGGCTCAGGCTTTGGATTTGTTTATACTCAGTAATCCACATGCCTAGGCCTATTTCAAACTTTGAGCCTTTCGTTGCGAGGTAAAATGGCTCGTGTGGGTAGCTCTGCATTGTTCTCTCGATACCAGTGTCAAATGTGATATTCCTGCGTCCAAACTATCGTTATAAGTTAGTTTCCGAGGAGTTTCTGTTGTGATTAGCATTTCGAACAAGAAATTGACAGATGGCAAGGGCTGGGTAGCTCAGAGAGTTGGCCCGATGTTCTAGAGATCTCTGGTTCAAATCTCGAGCCAGTCGGTCTTTCCTTTTTCTTTTTCTGTATTAACTTTGCAATTCGTTTTCTGCTTATATAGTTCCTTGATTCTATATGGCTGTGTCTAAGGCTGTCCTAAGACATTGGGGGTGCTGTTCGCCTGCAGCTGCCGTCGCTATTCTTCAATCTTGCTTTGCCTATATTTTTCGTCAGATCCTGTTATATCGCCTATTATGTCCTTTGGATGGTTACTTCTTTGGCGAACTGCATTTGCATTGGTTTGGGCATCGTGTGTGTTGGTGAAGGTGACACATTAATCGGTGTATACGTCTTATACGTGTTTATGTATTCCACAGCTGCACATTTCGGGCAGGTATTTTGATTATATATGGATTATTGACTATCACGTTGGGTGTCAATCTACCCTTTGGGATTCCACTGAGTTAAGTTCCACACTGAGTCATTTGTCTACGAACCAAATTATCATCTTGTAACCATTTTGACGACTGAACTTCGTCCAACAACACTCAAAAACCGCTTTGTAAGAAAAGACCTAAAGTGTGATTATGCATCAAGACAAAGCTTTGATACCTATGCTATGCTGTGTCTGGCCAGGCCCCCCCAAAAAACGATTTGTTTCAACATCCATGAAAACCCAAGACTCGATGGTGACAATCATGGAAAGCTGATTCCAACACACCAGGCATACCCGTGATTGAACAAACAGGGGACTTTATTTATCAGTGTAAGGACATTAAACCAACATCTATTTATTTTTATAGTTATTGAATTGCCAATGCAAGATATTTCCCAGTAACCCTCCACATCATTGTTACACAAATTCAAACGATTGTTTACTTATTTAAAACCTTGGAAGAGTAAGGGTATTATGGCCGAAGCTTAACGTATTATCGACAGGAATGCAATAATAGGCTATTAAAAAAAACATGAGGGGAGAATTCCGTTTTTTAACCGGCGGTTATTCGGGGTTAAACCTCCAGATAATCGGGGCTTTACACCGTGCATAAATACAAAACTCATGAATATTCGGGTCAACTTTAGCTCAGATTTCCCGATTTAGTTTGCGACAAAAGAGATGAGTTGGAAGGGGGAAAGCATCTCGAAAAAAAGGCTGCTTTTGCGGTATGATTAGAGGACTAAAGGATTAGTGGTATCTCTTGTCAGTATTGACAAACACTAGTTTGGGGACTCAGCCGTGCAGGTTTTGAAATTCTTATGATATCTGTTAATATTTTTATTACATTGGATATTTCCTGCTTTTTATTGATCATTTCATTTTTGATCGGTTGAAATCGGTAAAAGAAAAATTGAGATTTTTTTTTTTTGGTGAAGAGTATCAGACCAAGTGACCTACTGTATTGTGTGCTACCCTGGTCTCACACGCGGCCCGAACAAAGCTTTGGGGCTTTGAATGAAAATGGTGGAGCCATAGCATTAAAAGATTTGTGAGGAGACGCTGGTATTGCCAAAAGGATTGGGAAAGTGGTTCATGCAAACTTGCCTGATAAATATACACATACATTTTGCCGCGTCAAGCAAAAAATTGCACATTAAAATTTAAAGTCGGCGTATCAGCTGCAGAGTATAAGCCGCAACGCGGTATCGACATGTCGAAGTCATCGCACGCTCTGCACTGCTGAAGTGCCAGTATACGTGGAATATTTACTCGGTGCCTTTACGTGACGCATTTGAAGAGTTCATTTTGCACTTCGGAAAAAAAATTGGAAAATGGGGCCAAAATAAAATGTCATCAGAACTTTGTAGCGGGTATATGACATTGAGTTATGAATCGGAGTATTTTTGACTTTTGTTAATTTCCCCTTTTGTAAAAGTGCGCGGCGAAAAAGTGCCCAATTTTAGGATTCGCGCCACTTTCGGGTACGACATTTTCCAGTGTTATTCCGAAACGACGAGTTAACACTCAACGGTTCTTTAAAGAACCACACCTCGCCCAAAAGAGATTGATTCCATTGTGTACCCGCAAACCTATTTCTCAAGTGTTATTACTAGCAGTGCATGAACGAGTGTTGACATTACGCCCTCGAAATTACCAATTGTGCGGGCTTGGTCAGTGTTCTTTCTGGGTAAGCCATGCAGCAGTTCGTTTTGTTCTTTTGTTTTCCAACAGTCACCAAATAACCAGTGAAATAATAAACAGCATGGATTACACAACCTTAACAGACAGAAATTAAGCAGACGCACCGCACGATTTGTGAGGTGTGAACGGTACTTTCAAAAGTCTGTTTTGTCCCTCTGAACTGGTTTCCTTTATTTCAAACACGTCAGAAGAGCGAATGTACACGGCAACCAACGAAAGATAAACCACGTGGCAGGCAAAAGCAGCCAACAGCTTGGGCTAGGCTGTGGGATGCGCTGAGGCAGGGCACGGCGGGGCGTTTATTAGTATAACGTATGAGAGTACTGGAGACTATTGAAAATAGTCCTATATCCACCCAACCCCCCGACCCCTACCTAACCATTTTTAAAAACTCTAAACAAGTGTAAAAACCCGTTTGGCACTTTTAATCTCTTTCAGCGGTTTTATCTTAGGACTCTGACGGTTTGAGAGTGGGAAGCTGCCTTCTGTTGACTTTGTAAACCCACTCAAAAGACCCCACACCCCAAGTTCTTTTTTTTTCTTTTCCCTTCCAACCACTCTCCACACTACACTTTGGTTGCTGCAGCCTCTTTCTTCTCGATCGTTTGCTACAACCATCCACAAATTTTTGCAAGACATCTGTATAATTTCACTTCTTCTTTGGTGGAGATGTATTGCAACCTCTGTTCTCAATGTGAAACAAGGTTTTTTTTGCCTAGACAACAAAAAAACCAAACCATTTATATCTGTTGGTAGGTTTACATGCGTGTAGATCCAAGACACTTCTTTCTATAAAAATATACAAAGAATTGTCTTTGTTTTGTGTGACCAAATCGCTCTGCTTCCTAGCTCGGTGCGATATACCTCGCCACAGAAGGTATTTGTTGTACAAAATCTCTCGAGTTGGAAAAAATCCCTCGAGTTGGACAAAATCTCTCGAGTTGGACAAAATCTTTCGAGTTGTAAAAGTCTATCGAGTTGTTCAAAATTTCTGAAGTTGTTCAAAAGCTCTCGGGGTGTTTGTACCAAGACCAAACCTACACGAGTCCAACATGTGCAGCGCAGCGGTCTTGTTGGTTTAGCTATATAGCATCTCCCGTTGCACCTCTTTGACTATAAAAAGGTTTTGTTTCACTCCAAAAGAATTCCACCAATATAATTGAAATAGTATCTACTTCAATCTATAAACAAAAAGATATCATAAGAAAGAAAACACAACGCAATCTAAAATAGAAAGCAAAGACCACAGCCAAGACTTTACTACTATTCTAGCACCGCCAAGTAATTTGAGTCTACCACAAATCACAAAGTATACATACAAATCACAAAGTATAGCAAAATCCCAAAGTTTCGTACAAATCCCAAAGTTTCGTACAAATCCCAAAGTATAGAAAAAATCACAAAGTTTAGTGCAAATCCCAGAGTTTGGCGCACATCACAAAGTGTACATATAAATCCCAAAGTATAGCAAATCCCCATCAAATAAAACTTGTTTCTTTTGTCCGCGGTTTGAAGTTCGAGTTGAGTTCGGTTGCGTCCTCGAATCTTTTAACAAAGTATCGCATACGGGTATACTTGGCTTCTGGAACGTGTTGGATCTTTTTGTTGCTGCTCCATTCGACCTGCTCCGTCTTTTAGTTTTGGGGGATGTGGAACGAGATCGGTGGAATGTCTACCGAATGCAACACAATTGAATAATAGAAGATTTCTTCTCCATTTCGGTTGTGGAACGTCGAGATCGAAACTCTAGCACGATTTGTTCGGTGCAGTACTCTAGTCGGTCTTTTTTACACTCGCTTTGCTCGACTCTTTCCCGTAGCTTCTTTCCTGTCGATCTCGACTGCCACCCTCATTTTTTTCCTTATTCCTCTACGAAAACCTCAAGGCGCGTTTTACACCGATAACCATGACCCGGGCAATACTGAAATTATATAACTCAACCCCCTTTGAAAATACTGGACGATGTGGAACTATTTTCTCGACATCCAGAACTCTGATTGCTTGTGACGCGCCTACGCGGGATAAACGATGATTGGGTAAAACTTTGTACACGTCACTCTCGGAGAGTACATTACCGGTATACAATACAATGTTACACGTACTGCAAACCCGGTTGTGTTCGCTGGAACGCAAACGCTGGAAAGCGATTGTGAGAACCGCGGGCATCGGTTCTAGTAGTATATGTCTCGCTTGTTTTGTATCTTTTTGGCTCATGCAAT